GCCTTGCACATGCGGATCCCGGCTAGTAAAGCTTCATATTCTGCCTCATTGTTTGAAGCCTGAAAACTGAAGCGTAGAGCATACTCGAACCTGTCGCCCTCTGGAGACTGACATACGACGCCTGCTCCACAACCATTTGAAGTAGAGCTTCCGTCCACATATACCTTCCATACTTGGTCTGGAACTTGAGAGTCAGGAGGACGAGTCATCTCTACAATAAAGTCAGCAAAGGCTTGCCCCTTTACTGCTTTTCTAGGCTCGAAAGTAACTTTGAGGCTCTGTATTTCTATGGCCCATTTGATCATTCGGCCTGACGACTCCATGATGGTCAGCGGCTGCTTGATAGGTTGGTCTGTATACACGACGACTGTATGTGCCAAAAAGTAGGGCTTCAATTTTTTAACAGCCATGAAGAGTGCAAGACCAAATTTCTCCACTAGGGGATACCTCAACTCGGCATTTTTCAGTACGTGACTGACAAAGTAGACCGGGAGCTGACAACCGTCCCTTTCAGCAAGGAGAACAGCGCTTAACGCATGATCAGAGACGGCCAGGTACATGTAGAGAACCTCTTTGGGCAAAGGGCTGACCAGCCTCGGCAAGGAATGCAAGTGAACTTTTAATTTCTGGAAGGCGGCCTCAGCATCCGGCCCCCATTCAAACCTTGCCTTTTTCTTAATTGCCTGGAAAAAGTATAGGCACTTGTCGCCTGATCGGCTTAGAAATCTTCCCAAGGCCGCTAGACAACCTGTTAACTTCTGAACCTCTCGGATGGTACGAGGCGACTGCATGTCAATGACCGCCTGCACCTTCTCAGGGTTCGCTTCTATTCCTCTCTGATTGATAAGGAATCCGAGAAATTTCCCAGACTCAACTCCAAATACACACTTCTTGGGATTGAGCATGACACGGTGCCGCCTGAGTGTGGCGAAAGTTTCTCGGAGGTCCGACAGATGATCTTTCTGAAGTTTAGTCTTGACAATCATATCATCAATATATGCCTCGACGTTTCTCCCAATCTGATCAAAGAACACAGTGTTTATCATTCGTTGGAAGGTAGCCGGGGCATTCTTAAGACCAAACGGCATGACCGTGTAACAGTATAACCCCTGATCAGTGACGAAGGCCGTCTTCTCCTGATCTTTCTTCCATAAGGGAATTTGATGGAAACCAGAATAGGCGTCCATGAAACTCATCAAGGCATGGCCGGCTGTTGAGTCGACCAGGTTATCAATTTTAGGCAGAGGGTAACTGTCTTTGGGGCACGCCTTGTTTAAGTCTGTGTAGTCTACACACATTCGCCAAGTGCCATTCGGCTTTTTAACAAGCACTACATTTGCAACCCAGTCTGGGAAGTAACATTGCCGAATGAACCCTGCATCAAGTAATTTTTTAACTTCGGCGGCTGCCGCCTGACTTCTTTCTTCGCCATGGTTCCGCTTCTTTTGCCGTACCGGCTTCTTTTTCGGATCCACAGCGAGTTTATGTACCGCCAGATCAGGACTAATGCCTGGCATTTCATGGACTTCAAATGCAAAGATGTCCTTGTATTCTTTCAATAGGTTGTGAAAGTCGTCACCAAGGTTTCTCAGAGCAGTCGTCCCAACTTTGACTGTTCGATCAGGACGTGAGTCGTCTAAGATCAGGTCCGCATGCTCACCAGCCGGATGAGGGCGGAACTCATCCGGCCGCTCCTCTGCCAATGATTGCTATTTTCTTGCTTTTCTTGCGGACTCTGTCTGGGACGCCTTTCTCTTTTTGCCGCCTGCTTCTTGAACAGGCGCACTCTCCTTGACATTGTCAAGGTCTGTTTTTTCTCCACTTGACCCAGTGGCCATAACAGTGGGCTTGACATCCGAGAGATAGCACTCTCGGGCCATCCTCTGATCTCCCCTTAGGGAGCCGACTGTTCCATTATCCCTCTCAAACTTAAGCAACATAAGAGACGGGATTATAACAGCCTTGGAATTATTCAGGGTTGGTCGACCCAGAATCATGTTGTAGGCCGAGAGTTCCTCTACTACTAGGAACCGGACTACCATGTGTCGTCCTTCCCCTTTTTCGCCCAGGCGAATGGGTAAATCTACTCGTCCCAATGGGTGGACGACTCCTCCTCCAAACCCTATTAAAGGGTGGGAGGCCGGATGTATGCAGTCAGTCTGATATTTCAGTTTCGACAGACATTTGCTGCTGATGAGATCTGAGGAGCTCCCGGTATCTATGAGGATTCGGCCAACTCTCTGGTTGGCCACTTTACATTCAATAACGAGAGGGTCGTCATGCGGCCCCCTTACCCCTCCTAGATCCTCTTCAGTGATGACAATCTCAGGAAATGTATATTTGGACGGCCGTCCTTGGTGAACGGAATTTACATCTAACCGCCTTATATTATCTTTGTTGCCCCTAATAGTGGGGCCGCCTCCTGAGAAGCCGCCTGCAATGGTGTAGACGACTGCATCATCTGTATCGGAGCTGTCGGCCTGTTGATTCTTTTTGGCCGACAGCTTTCTTGAGGAAGTGTTCCCCGTAGATTTTCTGACATAAATGTCAAGATCACCTTGCTCAGCCAGGCGGTCTAGGTACCGCATGAGACTGATGCAGTCATTGGTGTGATGACCAACGTCATCATGATAAGCACAGATTTTATCTTGGTTCCGGTTGTTTGCAGAACCCTTCATGGGGACCGGCTTCTCAATTGAGATCCGTCCCTTTATTTCTTTTAGGATAAACTGGTTATCCTTGTTAAACACATACTTTGGGGAGTATGGTTTGAATTCTTTTTTCTTTTTCTGGGCCGGCTGTTTAGAGGAATCAGCCGCCCAGACCTCTTCTCTTTTCTCATCTTTGTTTGACGACTGTTTCTGTCGTCCTTCTCTTTTGTCGAACCTTTTCCCGTCCGACTGTTTTATCGTACACAGATCAGTCGCCTGTATATAGGCTTCTGCTTCAATCAAGGCCTCTTGAAGAGTCGCCACCCTTTTTCGAACCAAATCAAATTTGAAGGTAGACCCGTCTTTGAGACCTCTAAAAAAGTCGGTATAAGCTACCTCATCCGGTAACCCTTGAATCTGTATTCTCATCAGGTTGAACCGCCTGATGTAAGAGCGAAGCCCCTCCTTCTCGCCCTGCTGAATTGTTCCCAAATCAAGGGTCGTTTTCTTCGAAGGGATGTTCATGGCGAAGTTGGAGGCAAATAAGTAAGCAAGCGTCCTGAAGCTATTTACACAACCAGTCGGCAGGTTGCCGAACCATTGCTGTGCGATTGCTTTGAGAGTCGCTGGGAAACACTTGCACCAAGTGGGATCATCCAACCCTTGAAGGTACATCAGGTTGGTGAATGCCATCAGATGGTCTTCTGGGTTAGTAGTGCCGTCATAGGCGCCTACTAGTACATTTTTCACTTTGGCCGGCTGAGCGGCTTCAGTAATTTCCTTGGAGAAGGCCGACGGCTGTTCACCAAGTCTAAGCAACCGTAGCTGCCAGTCCATAGGTTGGACGTTTTTTGCTGTAGGTCCACCAAATGGAGGTGGCTGCATAAAATACTGTTGTTGCGGCACAAATGGTAAGTTTGGTACCGCCTGGGCACTATGAAAGCCGGACTGACGGGAGGTGCCGCCTGACTGACTCTCATGGTACGACTGAGTATGCCTCATCGAGACATTTCGCAAACTGTCTTGAAAGTCTGAAGTAGAAGCCGACTCGGACAATCGGTCACTCTTCTTCTGCTCTAGCAGTAGCCGAGCATCTGTGAACGTTTGCTTTGACCCGTCCGCCTGAATATGACGAACCGGTTTCCTATTTCCTGTAGGATAACGGAATTTTGTGAAATCAAGGGCAGGTGGCTCCCGCTTCCTAGATTTAGGATGAGGAGTCGCCTCTCGCCCTTGAACTGGCTTCCTCTTCAGTGAAGTGGAAGGTTTCTTGGCCGACTGCTCCTTGACTGAAGCAGGCGGCTTCTTGTTGATCAACTCTTGAATCTCTCCCTTGAAGTCCCTCATGAAGGTCATGAGTTCGTTCCTTGTGATGGGAGCAGACCCATCAGTCGGCTGTTGCCGAGCAGGCGGTGCGCCTGCTGGCTCGCTTCCTGTTTGAAGATGCTCCCGTTCCCTCCTTTCGGTATGACGGGTACGTCGGGCCCTTAGGGTCCCGTCTGGAGCTGTATGAGTTTCAACTTCAAATTCACTTTCGGTGTCATGGTCCGACTGAACTTGAGGGTCGTCTAGGGGACGCCTCTCTTCAGGAGTCGGTACAGACTTGGATGCCATCTCTGAAGTACTCTCCCCACAGACGGCGCCAAATGTTTCGGGGTTTTCTGATGTCCTGCGGGAGAGTTACAATTCCGAGACTGGAACCGGACGCCTGTACCTGCAAAATAACGGAGACTCCTGAGAGCTCCGCCTCCAACGGTCAAGTTAGTACCTGATTAAGGAGTAATTAATGCGGAAATTAAAGTAATAAGATCTCTCTAGGTGAGAGTGTTTAATGTTGGTAATCTGCTTTGTTAGCGAGATCAGCCGGTTATTAGTGTGTTCCGTAATGTTTCTGTTCTGTTCTTCAGGTGAGATTAATTGCTTGATCCTCTTTAATGAGGATTAATTAAGTATTTATAGTCTTGAGAAGCGTGCCACTCTCTAGGTTTAGGGTAAACCTAGGGCTGACCGGGCCTCTAAACAGGATTGGGCCTTGTTGGCCGATTTTCCCATTTGGCATGGGTGGACACATGGCGTGTCTCAATTGGTCCGTAGAGGACGTATCTGTGATTGACACGTGGCAGGCTCCTATTGGCCTACGTGAAGGACACGTGGCGGATAAAAATCCCCTAATCACCCCACATCCGTGAAAAGAAAACAAATACAATTTAAATTGAGGATTATCACATTACAAACTCGATCTATAGGGGAGAATGATTAAGTATTGACTTCGGATGACGAATTCTCCCTCAGAACTATATGTCATTTCCCTATTGTTCTTAACATTTATTTGGAGCTTTTTATTATCAGGGAAAACCCGAAAATGGGCAGGAAATTGCTGTCAAAAGACTATCAAAAAACTCCGGACAAGGAGTTGCAGAGTTTAAAAATGAAGTTGTTTTGGTTGCAAAACTTCGACACAAGAACTTGGTCAAGCTCTTGGGATTTTGTGTGGCACCAGAAGAAAAGATACTTGTCTATGAGTTTCTTTCTAATTCAAGCTTGGACAAATTTATATTTGGTAACGACAAAGTTTTGAGGTTTAAAAATAAACAATTTGTAAATTTGTGCATTAGCACCTCATTACTAGTTGTTTGTATTGCAGGTCAAACGAAGCAAGCATCTTTAAATTGGCAAATAAGGTGCAATATTATAGTTGGTATTGCAAGAGGGCTTTTATATCTTCACGAAGACTCCCCACTTAAGGTTATTCATCGAGATCTTAAATCAAGTAACATATTACTAGATGAACATATGAACCCTAAGATATCAGATTTTGGCCTTGCCAAACTTTTTGGAGTTGATCAAATTCAAGGTGACACTAAAAGGATTATTGGAACTTAGTAAGATCTCAAACCTTTCCATAAATTTTATTATCTTTGTATATAGACAAACTATATAGTAATACTTAAATTATATAGTCCCTTGTTACCTTTTATATATGGGTATAAAACTTATTGATTATTATCTTTCTACACTTATATTTCAAGAACTTATTTTGAAATACCCTTTTTTTTTCTTTTTCTTTTTTTTTTTTAAATGAAATCTAGCTCTGAATTATTTAGTGGTGTATCATTTTTTTTAAACTACTGATTTCTATAATTAATTTAATTTAATTTAATTGAAAAACCTGATCTTATTAATTAGATCAATCTTCTTATTTTTGAAATACAGTGGTTACATGGCTCCAGAATATGCAATAACAGGTCATTACTCAGTAAAATCAGATATTTATAGTTTTGGAGTCTTAGTTCTTGAGATTGTGAGCAGTCAAAGAAATAGATTTTGCAAGCAATTGCAGCTTGAAGAGGCATTACTACATCGAGTAAGTTTCTATTTTATAAGGGTTCATATAAATCAAAAAATCATCTCAAAATTTTTAACTTTTGAAATGTCAATAATGTATCTCTTGTTTATTGAATAGGCATGGAGGTTATGGAATGATAACAAGACCTTAGATTTTGTTGATACAAAATTACAAAATGACTTTCCAATAGATGAAGTAACTAAATGCATCCATATTGCTCTACTATGCATTCAAGATGATGCCGCCTTAAGGCCGAGAATGAGCTCCATTGTTGCAGCCCTCAATGGCCAAGCCGTTTGTCTCCCAACGCCGAAGCCACCTAATTACTTTGGTGCTAAGATTTTAGAAGATAATGATTCTCTAGGTAGTGTATATACACGAAATAAGACGATTACAAATTTGCATCCTCGCGATTAATTAACCTATCTCATTCATTTTTTGATCCTTGTTTGTAAGTAATACTATCCTACAATTATATATATATATATATATATGCTTACTTTTAGCACTTGATTTTTAAGTTGGGATAATTTTGTATTTTTACCTTTTTCTCTTTTACTTTTTCCCACTACAAAAAAAATATACTTAATTTTTATAGTAATAAATAATAAAAGAACGGAAGAAGTATATAAAGAGGACTTGGTATTTTTGGAATAAAACTACGTAAGTTAGTTTGGACAGGTTGGATTGGAACTCAGGCACACATCACAGGTTGGATTGGAACTCAGGCACACATCACTATTAGGAAAACTATCCCTACATTGTTTAGCCTGAGGACACACATCACAGGCTTTATTCAAAGATTTCTTAACAAAACTATTACGAACATCAGGAACTAACTTAACTGACCACTCTATTCAACGGACGCCCAAGTCTTCTATGCCATAGCTCAAAACCAGACACCATAGGAGCTTGCACCGCACATACTGTAGGAATTCGTCGAAAATAGTAGAGTCCTTCTCGTCGTTCGCTGGCTCCAATCAAGCTCCCTGAACGTTCATCCTGTATAGCATATAAAGAATCAGTGGATCATAAAAAAAATAATGTGAATTATTATCAATTGTTTTAGACACCAATATTAAATTGTTTGGGAACAAATAAGACATGTTTCAAGATTAGGTCGCCAATCAAAATAATATGGCCCTCTTTCAGAGCCACGGCTTGATCACCATTAGGAAGACCCACTAGACACGGCGAGATCGTATGCACATCCACCAAGCAAGTTTCATTACTGGTCACCTAATGATATGCCCCCTTGTCAATAATCCAAGAAGAAGACAAAGGCTCACCTTGCATCCTCTCTTGTTGTTGATGATTAGCCATATTGAGCAAAACCCGAATGTCTTCAGGTTTTAAATCAGCTAGAGAATAATTTTCGCCACTTTTGGACGATGTCACTGTTGAAGAGGGCAGCCCACTCACGGCATTGGCACGAATAGCAGCAGCATGAGCCTTTCTCGAACTCATATTAGAAGCAACAGCAGGCTTGGCAGCAGGTTTAGAGGACGAAGCACTCGCCCCCTTAGCCCGCTTTAGTTCATGCCACCAGTCAGGGAAGCCATGAAGAACGAAGCAACCCTCGACGTCATGTCCTATCTTCTTGCAATGAGAACAAAATAATTTTGATTTATCCTGGCGATCCAGGATCCCCTTCGAGCGAGCAGCAGACACGACTAAAGCGTGAGCATCCTTCACCGCCTCTTTCTCAGCTTTTCCTTTAGCAATGCCGCGTGACTCTCCCTCTTGGAGAAGAGCCTGAAAGGCATAGTTCAAATCAACAGGTGGTTGCTGTGACAACAAGTTTGTGCGCACAGTAGCATATAAATCATCATCAACACCAATCAAAAATTGGTGTAGCACTTCCTCCTCCCGATCCGCAGAAAACTTACCCGCAACACTACACGAGCATTGCCCACACTCACAGCCATGAAGAGGTTTGAGTCGCGTGTGGTCATCAAACAAGGCCATAAGCGTTGTATAATAGTCCTGAATCGAAATGCCTTTGATCTGATCTGCTTGCAATCGGTGATCTTGGACCGTAGCTGCTACAACTATGGTCCACTAGAGACACAATTTCTCTGTACTAGGTAATCCCAGAGGCGTTTTGCTTCATCAAAAAAGGGCAGTGACGCAGCAATTTTAGGGTCCATATACCTCAATATCCACGAGACAAGCATCGAATTCACCGTCTCCCAATCCATTAATTTCTTCTTCTCACTCCGTTTGTGTTATCGTGAACACAAATTTTCTACGAGATCATAAAGACAATGTAATTGCCCTCGACCATGCCAAGTAATTGTCTCCCTTCATGACCACATGAATGATCAAATTCGTCGACTGATCACCAGCACCAAAGTAGAATGGAGACGAAGGATCAAGCTTACCATCTTCATCCATTGTGCATGATTAAGCGTTAAAAAAAGAAAAAGTTTTAGGGTTTTAAGAGTGTAATTGGCGTGATACCATGTTAAAAATGTGAATCCTTAGTTTGTATTGATGTGTAAACAAGGTATATATACAACCTAAACCAAGGGCCTAAACTTAGCCTACTAAGAAACTAAATACAATATATATACGTGGCTTATCACCGCCTCTCCTTCATTCCTTCACCTAACCCGAACCAAGGTTGGGAAAGGTAGAGGAAGATATATATGGTTGTTATGAATCATTGCCACTGTAAGCTTCAAATAATATTTTGACATGTTCTTATAAGAATGAATCCCGGGTTTATCAATTTTAATACGTACGACATTAGTGTCATAGTTTTATCATTAATTAATGGATGTTTTATTCTATTGGTAATGCATAATGTGATATGCAATTAAATATTGTTTATTTTTAAGAGAATGTTATTTGTTTCCATCATAATAGATTTTTCAAATAAATATTGTAGTGATTATCTATCGATTACCATTTGCATGTTAATTAATAACAGTTCGTTAAGTAAACAATGAACTACATATTAAGGAGTAAGGTCCTGTTCACTTCACCTTACAAAAATAATATTTAGTAAAAATACTTTCAGTTCAGTAAAAATAAGTTCAGTTCAGTAAAATAATTTCAATTCAAGAAAAATAAGTTTAGTTCAGTATAAATCAGTAATTTCAAAGAAGAAATATAATAAACAATCAGTAAAAATAATTTCAGTTCAGTAAAATTAATTTCAGTTCAGCAAAAATAATTTTAGTCCAGTAGATATATTCAGCAAAAATAATTTCAATTCAGTGATAATAATTTTAAATTGGCAAAAATAAGGTAAAATGAACGAGACCTAACATACAATCAATCAATCAATAACTATATACTAAAAGACACACCAGCAATGACACGTGTCATCTCCTGGTATGTCCTTAGTATATTTTTTTTTTTGAAAAAAAATCAATTATAGTATAAAATAATAAAATAATCTTATACAAAAATAATATTTTATATATGTTAATAATAAAGGTAATTACTTGAAATAAATAAGATTTGATATACCTTTCCACACAGACATTTATGATTATAATAAAAAAAATATTAACATGATTTGCGACATACTTTGATTTACTTCAGAAAAGTATTCATATTTATTCTCTAATAAAAAATAGTTGTTTATTTATTGATTAGAATTCACATCAAAGTAGTGTGTATATTTTTTAATATTTTAAAGATTTTTTTGAACTTTTTAACATGAAAAGTTGATATTAACTTTTAAAATTACCGTATATGACACGAGACCTAAACTAGTATTACAATTATTAGACTTCATCTTCGATCGACTTAACTACATCTATCTATTAAATTACTTGATAATTTTATCTTTAACTAACCGTGTTATATATAAGTCCAAAGACTTGCAGACATTTAGATATATTTTGGGAAAGATACGAGTACATAAATTGGACACGTCGGCATGAAATAAAGAACAAATAAATTTAGTCATCAGTTATTCAGCCTTGACTAATTCAAACTTGCACTCCTATAATCTAAAAAGTAAATTTGAATTGTATGGAAATATGGATATGTCACTAAGCGGTGAAAGTGATAGATTGACATATTAAACAACTAAATTGATGCTGAAACGAATTTAACCATTAAGTTGTTTATATTTTATTTCTTCTCGATGTAATATCAAACTTTCTTACTTTGCTGGTACAGTTTAATTGACACACTTGTTTCCCACACTAGTATTAGGTTATTAGTTAGCTAGAATAAATTATTCACACCTTTCACCCCCTTAGTGTAATTTGTGATAATGGAATAAATTATTAGGTGAATATTTAGGATAAAATAGAATAAATCATATTTCTTCGGACTTCAATTCTTCCCTTGCTTCGCTTATCTTACTAAACTAAGCTAACTTAGTTAGCCTGTTGATAACTTCAATAACACATTAATTAGTTTAAAAGCTAAGTCTAGTTAATAATGATCCAACTAAAGCACCTTTCAAAATGTCACATCTGCTTGTCTACTTCCTGGAACATGCAATTCAACTTTCTAAACGTAGATTATTCAAACATATAGTAGTCACAAAGTCAAGAACGACTAATCCAATTGCGAGTAGTATTTTAAATAGATTAGTTTGAAATCATGCAAATACACGTCACAAATAGTCGGTCCTGTGTTTTTAATTTCTCCGTGGGACCAATAATGTCACAATTTCAACATAATTTTAAGGTAGAAAAATAACATATCATATATTTTAGTCAAATGTGTAGTTATCATACTTGTTAATTATAGCATTGCTCATATACGTAGTATATGAATTCTTTGACCCGTCCTTAACCAACTAAACATTTAAAATACCTTGCTTTATAGTAGGCCGTTTAGTATCAAAGCTATTTTGATCTCAACCAAGAAAAAAATTAATACAAAAAAATGGCTAAGAAAATAAGTTGGTCTTCGATAATATTCTCAATCTATACGCCAATTATCATATTGATGATTTCCAAATCAACAAGTGCTCAAACCTACGATTGCGGCTCAAACACTACAATCTTTGCTAACAATAGCCAATACGAAGCTAATCTCAACACCCTCTTCCGTTATCTCTTATCCAATGCAACCGACCCAAACGGCTACCATCAAGCGGTTTCTAACAATGGCGAGCCTATTTACGGTCACTTCCTTTGTCGCGGGGATTTGAACGCTAGCGCATGCCAAACGTGTGTTGGCAATGCCACGACAATTGACCTCCCTATAAACTGTCCTAATCGAAAAATTGCACTTGTATGGCGAGATGAGTGCATAGTAAGATACTCGAATCAGTCGTTTTTTGGTAGATTGGACTCGAACCTCATGATGTTGTTGTATAATACGGCTAATGCAACAGGGAATACAACACGGTTTGAGGAACTTCTGGGTAACATGATGAACAACGTGATTGCAAACCGAGCTCCCAGTGGAGGATCACAGAAGAAATTTGCAACGGATTTTGTAAATTATACGACATTCCAAACGATATATGGGTTGGGTCAGTGTACACCGGACTTGAGCCCTACTGATTGTTACACATGCTTGGCAAATGGTATTGGGCAGTTTCATTTGAATCGAGGTGCACAAGTAATGCAGCATAGCTGCGTTGTCCGATATGAGATGTATCCTTTCTTCAATTTGTCGTCGGTGGCCCCACCACCTCAACCGTTGCCACTACCTCCACAACAGTCACCCACCGGTGATTCCAACCAATCTAGTGGTACGTTGGTTTATGCCTCCATATCTAACTTTCTGCGTGACAATTTTTATTATTTTTTGTAAAATAATTAGTTATCTCTTTATTTGTCCCTAAGATTATTGTCAATTAATTGAAATAGATTATATGAACAGATTGCGTGCATGTTTAAGTAACCAACTTTATTATGAACTAAAATACGAAGTATAAGTTTGACTTTGCAATTTAGGGTTTTTTTTTGTGAAAAACTACCTAATAAAACCCATAATATGTAAGAAACTAACTAATATAAGGTAAAATGTTGTAATTGATTACCTTTGGTTGGATTTTAATCTTTGACCGACTTTTTCAGCATTGACCCACCTTAAAACACCTTCAAAACATGTCCAATATTTCTCACAAATTTTGGATTTTATTTGGTAGTTTCTCCGTAAATTGTTGGTAAGTAATATAATATTTCATCAGCTCTCTTGCAATCGCAATGTTGGACTTCTTCCCTCTAATCACTCAATTTCTTTGACTGTTTTTTTTAATGATTTATATATATGGCAGGAAAAATATGATAATGTGGACATCTTGTTGTATTGATATATGAGCTTAATAGTTGGTAATGAACTCTATTAATTTGTATTAAAATTTCTTTTTTATTGATGTAAAATATGTTTGTTTAGGGAAGAAAATCTCAACAAATGTGATTATCGCCATTGTTGTTCCCATTGTGGGTATCTTAGTGGCATTACTGGCTATCGGGATTTGTTATGCCAAAAAAAGGAGAACCAAGACTCGTGTGGTTTCTGAAACTGGTAAGTTGATTATGATCCCAATCAATTTACCCTCGTTATAATAAAAAATAGAAATGCAAATATTATTGGAAAAACTTCATAGCTAAATTTTGCTCGTTGGATGATGTTGAAGGTGATGACTTCACAACCGTCGAGTCCTTACAATATGATCTAACGACGCTTCAATCTGCAACAAATAACTTTTCAATAGAGAACAAATTGGGTGATGGTGGATTCGGTAGTGTCTATAAGGTAAGATAACAATTTTTTCTTGTTTACAATACAGGACATTATTATTAGGTCCAATGTAACGATTAAATTAAATTTAGAGTACGAGCGCACCTTGTTATACTAGTAAAAATAACATGAAGTGTGGAATTAATACTCATATATGTTTGATTAGATCTGAGCTTTAATATATGTATGTATTGTTCTACAGGGTACACTATCAAATGGGCAGAAAATAGCAGTAAAGAGGTTGTCTCTAAACTCTAGTCAAGGATTACAAGAATTCAAAACTGAGGTTTTACTAGTAGCCAAACTTCAACATAGGAATTTGGTGAGGCTATTGGGATTCTGTTTCGATGGGCAAGAAAAGTTACTGGTTTATGAATATGTGCCCAACAAGAGCCTTGACAATTTTCTTTTTGGTACGGTGTATCTTATATCTCATTGGGGTATCTTGATTTGGTCATGTACCATGTTAATTTAATCTAAGCGCTTGACTATTACTATCCATGTGCAGATCCTGAAAATCGAGGACTACTGGACTGGGGTACACGTTACAAGATTATAGGAGGGATAGCGCGAGGAATGCTATACCTCCATCATGACTCTCAACTAAGAATTATACATCGAGATCTTAAGGCTAGTAATATATTGTTGGATGTCGATATGAACGCAAAAGTTTCAGACTTTGGTATGGCAAGGATATTTGTAGTGGATCAAAGCCAAGGAAACACAAGCAGGGTCGTTGGAACATAGTGAGTATATATTATTCAAATTCGACTTACTAGTTTTCAAAATTAAAGGAAAAAGGTAGAGTATATACTATGTACTAATTAGAAAGTTTTAAATTTTTTGTGCTTCTTGCAGTGGTTATATGGCTCCAGAATATGCAATGCATGGACAATTTTCTAACAAATCAGATGTATATAGTTTCGGTGTCTTAGTCTTGGAATTAATTAGTGGCAAGCGAAACAGTTCATTTTATGAAACAGGAGAAGCAATGGACCTTTTAAGCTACGTAAGTACTACGAATTTTTCGCTTTATTGATCAATAGGAAAGATTAAGACAACTTGACTAACTTATTAAATTACAATAAAATGTTAATATTTGCAGGCATGGAAGCAATGGAGAGATGGTATGCCTTTGGAATTCGTTGATCCAATGATAAGAGACTCATGTTCGTTGGACGAAGTTATGAGATGCATACATCTTGGCTTAATATGTGTTCAAGAAATTCCAGATGATAGACCTACTATGGCAACAGCAGTCCTTACACTAGACAGTTTCTCCGTTACACTACCGGTACCTGAAGCTCCGGGTTTCTTCATAAAGAGTAGAGTGGACTCAAATTTTGCTAAGGATATTGGTTCAGATCAATCATCAGGAAAATCAGCACGTTGGTCAGTCAATGATGTCTCAATCTCCGAACCTGAACCACGGTAGTAGGGAAAAGGTTGAGAAAGATAGGTTGTTAAGACTAATTAATTGTCATTCTCAAGCCTTAAAATTTGTCAACAGGTTCTTATACACATATTCTTAAACATAGTATTTATTTTTTCCACGTTATTGATATAGCTACACACTTTTAGTACTATACTGTTGTTAATCTAAACATGCTTTGGTATTCTTAAGCAATTTTAATCAATTGTATATTACAATTTGTAGATGATTAGGTGACTCGAACAATATTGCAGCCTTCCACTGCCCAACCGTGCATGCTATGCCCTGGCAGACCGGGCGGTGAGGACTTGCAGTGCAAAGTACCTCTATTTAGAAGTTGCTTCGCACGTCCGACCGGGCACTCAATGCCCGGTCTGACCGGGCGGATGAAGAATATGATAGAGACGCGGTTTTTTGCGGAAGTTAGAGTTATCTTATTTTCTTTTTTTATCTTGGAGCCCAAGTATCTTTTATTTAGGGATTAATATAAAACCTTCCTTTTATTAGTGTTAGGGTAATGAGAGGGTACAAAGAGCCGTTCTTGAGAAAGACTTGATTCATCTTTGTAATTCTTTGCAGTTTATAGTGAAATCTTTGATCTCGGTGCCGGTGGATGTAGTTATCACATTGATAGTGAACCACGTTAATTCTTGGTGTGTTGTTCTTGTTGTTTGCATTGAATTTCTTTGTTGTTTCTTTATTGTTTTCGATCTTTGCTTCCTCTATCGCACAACAATTGGTATCAGAGCCAGGTTTAATCCTTGGAGAAGTCTTGGGAAACAATGGTAGGAGATTCAACAATAAGAATTGAGAAGTTTACCGGGAAAAATAGTTTCGGGCTATGGCAAATTAAGATGAAGGCTCTGTTAAAACAACAGCAGATATGGCGTCCGTTGGCTCCAAAGAGTACTACTTTGGGGTCAGGAGACGGACTGACTGACTTGCAATTAGAAGTTATGGAAGAGAAGGCTCACTCTACCATATTACTTAGTCTTGATGATCATATCATCACGGAGGTTGCTGATCAGGGAACGGCGACTGAATTGTGGATGAAGTTGGAGTCATTGTATATGACTAAGTTGTTGACCAACAAATTATTACTAAAGCAGCGGTTGTTTAGCCTCCAAATGCAGTCAGGTACTTCCTTATGGGAACATCTAGAAAAACTTAACTCTATTTTACTTGATTTGCGTAATTTAGATGTTAAAATTGATGATGAGGATGCTGCGTTGATATTACTTGTGTCTCTACCGTCGACCTTTGAGAATTTTGTAGAGTCCTTAAAAGACTCACTGACCTTAGAAGAAGTGAAGACAACACTTCATACTAGGGAACTTCGTCAGAAAGCTATAGGTGATAATGGGGATAATGGTAGTGGGTTGCTTGTTAAGTCCGAGAAGCCTAAAAAGAAAAAAGGGTTTAACAAGGGGAACAATGTTGGGTCGGGTGCTGGTAACGACATGGATGGATCTGGTAAAACTGCTACTAAGACCTGTTATTATTGTAAAGAACCGGGTCACTATAGGGCTAATTGTCCAGTGAGAAAAAACAAGTCCCAAGCTGCTGTAGTCGAGGAAAAACCGAAAGAGAACTATAATTCAGAGGAAGACTTAGCATTAGTCAGTTCTGCTAGGCCTGACGATCTACCTGATAGCTAGGTTCTAGATTCGGGGTGTTCGTTCCATATGAGTCCACGTCGAGATTGGTTTGATACATATGAGTCTTGCAATAGGGGTACGGTTTATAGTTGGTAATAATACCCCTTGTAAGGTTACCGGTATTGGGTCCATGAGATTGAGGACCGTCGATGGGCGGAGGTTGACTTTGACTAGGGTGCGGCATGTTCCTGCTTTAGGAAAGAATCTGATTTCATTGGGTACCCTAGATGATTTGGGGTACATTGGTGTGTTTTCGAATGGGGAGTTGGGTATTTACAGAGATTCTGAGTTGGTGCTTAAGGGTATCAAGAGGAACACCCTCTATGTCTTTGACACTACTAGAAAACAGGCCATTTTCGACGGAAAAAATCCGTCGGAATCACATGAATTCTGTCGGAAAACCCGTTTCCGACGGAATTTCCGTCGGAACCGGTCGTCGGAAAACCGTTTGTAGGAAAAACGACCTTTTCCGACGGAACAGTTTTTCCGACGGAATTTTTTCGTCGGAAGAGGTTTTTCGGCACCGAAAAGTCCGTCGGAAATTTTCAACGGAATACAAATCCGCCGAAAATTTCCGTCGAAAACTGGTGCAATTAAATTAAAAAAAAAACATGCCGCACCACCACTGGCACGGCCTGTCACCACCTTCAGCCACCCAAAAAACCCATTGTCAACCCCTCCCCACCCTGCCTGCGCAGAAAAACCCACCCACCACCCTAACTTGTATCCTTCCACACCACCCTAACCCTAACCCATATCCTCAACCCACCACCACCTACCCACCTCACCATCCGAACCCCCAAAATAAAAAAAAAAAACACCCACCCAGCCGCCCAGATCTACCAACCACCACCACCACTCACCTCACCATCCGAATTACCACTAAAAAATTGATTTCATCCAATCTCAATTACATAAAATTACAAATAAATAAAATTTAAATTCAAACTAAAAATTAAATTGCCTACTCATTTGATTTGAATTCAAAAATCCCTAAAATCCAACATATTAACTTCGATAATACAACAATGAAACCCCAAAATCGAAAATAAATTCAGTTATCTAATTAAAATTCTAAAATCAAAAAAATTAATTAAACAATTCCCTAACCTAACAGCCACTCCCCAGCCCAGACAGCCACACCCTCCCCATGCACCACCACCGAAACCACCCTCCTTCCAGAACCACATGAGCGTAAAAGACCCCCGCCCCAGCCCCACCAACGAAACCGCCCAAAACTTGAATTCCCCAACCGAAACCACCCTAAACTCCTATTCCTTTCCCTATCCGAAACCCCCACCCCTTTCCCCGACCCGAAATCGCCGTAGACTCGAAACCCCTACCCCTGAAACCATTCCCCCACCCCTAGAATCTCAAGACACAGGCCAAAGGTTGCAACTTCAATGGAGAACTACGGTAGCAACTCAATGCACAGCAAGTTTATGCGGTAGTAAACTAACCCTAAATTCGAAAATCAAATCAACGACAAACCCTAGATTGCGATAACTGAAATCGACAATCTAAAAAGGATAAAAACAAATTCTTACCTCGAAGCTGCTTCAATAGAGGTGAGAAAGCTCGAATCCGCTTCAATGGAGAATTAATAGTACGCGTAGTGGAGGAGTGATATGGACAAAGCTCAGAATGCACTTCAAAGGAGAACTACGAGCACGCGTAATGGAGGAGAGATACAGAGAAAGGTGGAACTTCAAAGGTGGTCGAAGACTCGAAGCTAAGAGAAGGGCGAAAACGAGAGTGAGAGAACTTGAAAATGAAAAGCAGGGGGAAAGAAAGAAAGAAAAGAAGCAGAAGCAGAGTAACGTATACCCCGATTTTTTTTTTTATTTTGCACCGGTTTGGTTTGAACCGGTGCGAAATCCCTTTATCCCTTTTTTTTCCCTCTTTTTTAATTCGCACCGGTTTGAAACGGTGCGAAAAAGATAATTTCGCACCAGTTTGATAGGAACCGGTGCGAAAAGTCTTTTTCTCAATCCCGCCCATTTCTTTTACCACCGGTATTCAAGAACCGGTGCAAAAAGTGCGGTGCATATTTTATTTTTTTTCTACTAGTGACTGTTGCAGATTGCTTATGAATATGCAAAAGAAAATGGGCTGCATTTCTATGAAACTTTTGCTAAAACAGCACAGAAAGTCAATGAGCTCTTTTATGAAATAGGTCACTTCTTCCTTTCCTATCCTTTCGAATCATAATTAAAATAACACAAAACTAGAATATATTCAATAGAAAATAAAAAGAGAACACACAAAGAATGACTGTCTTAGAGCTTATGAACAGTGAACGACCATTATGTAAGGTTAATCGAGGGGTAATTTTATCCCCCCCCACCCCCATAATAGTAATAAATTCTAGAAAAAAGGATGTTTATGAATTGTCTCCAATTATTAAATTATGCATTATGAATAGTAGCTTAAATTATGCATGTATGATTTACTACTATTCAAAGATGTTTGTGAATTTACTACATAGACATCTATGAATTTAAATTTAGGAATCTTACCCAATTGAATAGTAGTATCTTTTACAGTAATTATGATCCTATGATTCCTACTACATTTTTACAGTAATTATGGTTGGCATAAGTCATGGAAATTATGGTTGGCATAAATCATGGAAATTGATATTACATGAACAACCTGGTCTTATTAAAATTGATAAACAACCCGGTCTTATTAAAATTATGGTTGGCATAAATCATGGAAATTGATATTACATGATCTGATCTGAATGTCAAATTTGACCAAACTTTGACCATAATTACCATAATTTTCATGATTTAAGGTCAAAGTTTGGTCAAATTTGACATTCAAATCATACCATACTAGATTAGCAAAAATAAGTTGAACCAAACAAGCCCTAAGTTCATAGCGATATCCTGTTAATCAATTCAAAAACATCTGTGAAATTGACGTATGTCAATTCAAAAACATCTTTGAATTGACGTATATTCCCCTGAAAGTCAATTAAATTATGCATAATTTAAGTAGTAGTAAATTCATAAACATCTTTGAATTGATATTACATAAACATCTTTGAATTGATATTACATGTTTATGAATTGTCTCCAATTATTCCTAAATAAAAATTGAACGATAGCAGTTTGAGAGAAAGATCTGGGGAGATAGCAGTATATTTGAGAGAAAGATCTGGGGAGATAGCAGAGAAAGATCTGGGGAGATAGCAGTGAGTTTTAGAGAAAAGTATTCTAATTGTAAAAGATAATTAGAATAGCTAGCATAATAATAATAACTTGAAAAGTGTGTTTTAAATCGGTTCCTATTTTAAGTAACATTGCCTACTTTGATTAGAGTTCTACGATTTCAGAGTTTTGTTTGTGGATCACTATTACTCATATTATTTTGCTTTCTAATTATGCCTTTTTGTGTGTGTGTTAACTTTATCGCGATCATTTCCATTTTGGATTTGATTCAGATGGAAGGTGATTCTATAGGGGTTGTAGTATAATTGGTTATTGTTTTTTGTGTTGATCATTGCTTTAGTGCTCACCGTTAGCTTACATTACGAGTATGCAAGTGGATCAGGCAAGCTTATCAATTGTTCGTACTTTAACATTATTTTGACACATGATATTATTAATATGAAGAGTAGAAAATTAAAGAATATACATTTATATATGTTATTAAAATATTTTCTACTCTAATTGAAATAGACTTTGATGCCAAAATTAATAAAGTTGGAGGAAAAAAAATAATGATTATACACCGTCGTCCTGGCTAAAAATACTATTCTAATTATATACTTCCTATGTTTTTTTTAGTTGACACCTTTCTATTATCACGCTTGCCAACGCATGTTTTTAACAATTAATATCTCTAATTATTAACATTGTAAAATTATAAATAGTGAATATTAATAAAATATACATTGAAATGATTCAAACAAGATCCCACATTAATATGTTTTATCGTATCTATAAACCACAAAAGCGAGTCAAAGCGTGTTGTGTAAATAATGTAAAAGTCAAA